ATGATCCAGTACCTCAGGATCTAGTACCGCCCCCAACAGCAGCTCCGACTCAGACAACTATATCCCCAGAGGTGGGTCAGATGTTTAATGTAGTCAACAGTGCTATGGAGATGTTTAAAGCCTTTATGGCCAACCAGAGCAAGAGAAGAGATGAGATTCCACTCAATCAAATAGACAGAACAATTCTGAGTCCTCAAGAGTAAATGAATTTTTGAAGTTGAGTCCTCCAGTGTTCCATGGTTCTATAGTTGATGAAGATCCGATGTTGTGGCTGGAGGGTGTCAAGAAAGCCCTCCGAGTGATGAAAGCATTTGATGATGAAGCTGTGGAGCTAGCTGCTTACCAGCTTAGAGATGTGGCCGGCGCTTGGTTTGAGATGTGGGAAAATGAAAGAGATGAAGAGGATGGTCCGCCTACTTGGGAAGAATTTGAAGAGGCCTTCATGGCTAACTTTATCCCAGAAGAGGATAGAGAAGCTAAGGCTACAGAGTTCGAACAGCTCAAGCAAGGGAATAAAAGTGTGCAAGAGTACTACATGGAATTCATAAGGTTGGCTAAGCATGCTCCTCACATGGTTAAGACAGAAAGAGCAAAGATTCGCAGGTTTGTTGGCGGTTTAGCTTATCACACTAAGGATACGACATCAGCTGCAGCAGTAGGGATGACAGTCTTCTCCTCTGTTGTGGGGTTTGCCAAGCACTTAGAAAAAAGGCAGACAACAAAGGAGAGAAGAAAAAGAGCATAACAAGAAAGCTCGGACAACGGGCAGGTTTAATGGTACATCCAGTGGAGGTGGAAGGGATTCCTCTAATAAGGAGTCGTTAGCACAGCTCAGTCTGATCATCAGTCAGGTGGTGGGTCTTCCTTCAGACGTACTCAGAGAAATGGAAATCAGTCTCGCCAGAATCAGAATTTTAGGATTCATCCTCACATAGCCAGAGTCACGCTGAGCAACATTCACACCAACAAGGTTTTTCTGGAACATGTAAGCGGCAACATTCAGGTCAGTGCAAGCTCGGGTTTCATGGTTGCTATCATTGTGGAGACACTGGTAATATAAAGGCCAACTGCCCAGAGTTGCGACGTAATTTCAGTGGTGGATCAACTCGTCCTTCTAGTTCCTCAGCTACTGCAGTTGCACCACCTCAGGCTCATGGTTTTTATAATCAGACTGGCAATGGAGCAGGCAGAGGTGCAGACCGAGTTACTCAGGAAGGGGGACAACCCCGTTTGTTTGCTACACTTGATCGTCAGAGTGCAGAGGCATCTGCAGAAGTTATTACAGGTATACTTTTAGTCTGCTCATATAATGCTTATGCCATAATGGATCCAGGTTCAACGTTTTCATATGTGACTCCATACTTTGCAATTAACCTCGGACTAGAACCTGAACAACTTAGTGAGCCGTTCCTAGTATCTACTCCAGTTGGCGAGTCAGTGAAAGTCACCAGAGTCTATAGAGGTTGTATAGTTTCAGTCCAAGGTCGCAACACCAAAGCCGATCTCATAGAGTTAGAAATGGTGGATTTTGATGTGATCATGGGTATGGATTGGTTGTCTTCCTGCTATGCCATGTTAGATTGTCATGCCAAGATAGTCAGGTTCCAATTTCCAAATGAAGAAGTCTTAGAGTGGAAGGGTAGTTCAGCATCGCTTGTAGGTAAGTTTATTTCTTACCTTAAGGCACAACGAATGATCGGTAAGGGGTGTCTCGCCTATTTCGCTCACATTATTATCCAGAATCAGAACCACCAACTCTTCAGTCAGTGCCAGTTGTTAGAGAATTTCCAGAAGTTTTCCCAGATGACCTTCCCGGACTTCCTCCCGAAAGAATCATAGACTTCGGCATTGATCTCATGCCAGGCACTCAGCCCATATTTATACCCCCTTATAGGATGGTTCCAGCAGAACTTAATGAGTTGAGAGAACAGTTGAAAGACCTTCTTGACAAGGGCTTCACCAGACCGAGTGTTTCACCGTGGGGTGCCCCTATCCTGTTTGTCAAGAAGAAAGATGGGTCTCTCAGAATGTGTGTCGACTATCGGCAGTTGAATAAAGTTACCATTAAGAACAAGTACCCACTGCCAAGAATTGAGGATTTATTTGATCAACTTCAGGGTGCAAAGTACTTTTCAAAAATAGACTTGAGGTCGGGATACCATCAGTTAAGAATCAAAAAAGAAGATATCTCTAAAACAACCTTTAGAACTCGCTACGAGCACTATGAATTTCTAGTGATGTCCTTTGGGTTGATAAATGCTCCAGCTGCATTCATGGACCTCATGAACAGAGTTTTCAAGCCATTCCTGGATACCTTTATTATTGTGTTTATAGACGATATTTTGGTGTACTCTAAGAGCAAGGAAGATCATGCAGAACACCTCAGAATAGCCTTGCAGACCTTGAAGGAAAATGACCTTTCTGCCAATGGTTTTTCAAAATGTGAGTTCTGGTTGCAGTCAGTGGCATTCTTAGGCCATGTGGTATCTAGTGAAGGAATAAAAGTAGACCCGTAGACCCTCAAAAGACAGAAGCAGTCAAGAACTGGCCTAGGCCGACAACGCCAACCGAAATTAAGAGTTTCTTGGGATTAGCTGGCTACTATAGAAGGTTTGTGGAGGGGTTTTCCTCACTTGCAGCTCCATTAACTAAGTTGACTCAGAAAGCAGTTAAGTTCCAATGGCCAGACGCTTGTGAGCAGAGTTTTCAAGAGTTAAAGAAGAGGTTGACCACTGCACATGTGTTAACCTTGCCGACAGGTTCGGGTGGGTTCACAGTGTATTGTGATGCCTCCAGAGTGGGCCTTGGTTGTGTTCTTATACAAAATGGAAAAGTTATTGCTTATGCTTCCAGGCAGTTAAAGAATCATGAAAAGAACTACCCCACACACGACTTGGAGCTTGCAGCAGTGGTGTTTGCATTAAAAATATGGCGACACTACCTTTATGGCGAGCATTCTGAAGTGTTTAGAGATCACAAAAGCCTCCAGTACATTTTCAAGCAAAAAGAACTAAATTTGAGACAGAGAAGGTGGCTCGAGCTACTGAAAGATTATAACATCAATATCCTTTATCACTCGGGCAAAGCTAATGTGGTAGCAGATGCACTTAGTAGGAAGTCAATGGGTGTCTTGGCCCATCTTGCAGTACAAAGGCGATCTTTGGGTCGAGAAATTCAAAAACTAGCAAATGATGGAATCAGATTGGATGCGACCGAAGAAGGAGATATAACTGCTTATGCCTTAGCGCAATCCTCCCTTGTTGCGCATGTTAAGGCTAAGCAAGACGAAGATTCGTACTTAGTGAAATTAAAAGAAGGAGTCAGAAGCAAAGAAATCACTGCTTTCACTCTAGGAAGTGACGGAATTTTGAAGTTGAATGATCGGTTATGTGTACCTGATGTAGATGGTCTTAGGAAGGCCATAATGGAGGAAGCTCACAGTTCGAGGTACTCTATCCACCCAGGTGCTACCAAAATGTATGTAGATTTGAAAGAGTTGTATTGGTGGAAAGGCATGAAGAAACAAGTAGCAGATCATGTGGCTAAATGTTTAAATTGCCAGCAAGTCAAAGACGAGCATCAAAGGCCTGGTGGCCTAACTCAAGACATAGAGATACCACAGTGGAAGTGGGAGATGATTAATATGGATTTCGTAGTAGGTCTACCTCGCACATACCGTAAATATGATTCAATTTGGATTATTGTAGACCGACTGACAAAGTCCACGCATTTCCTACCAGTAAAGACGACAGACTCCGCAGAGCAGTATGCGCAGTTGTACATCAAAGAAATAGTTCGATTGCATGGTACTCTAGTTTCAATCATATCTGACAGAGGCCCTCAGTTCACGGCGTATTTTTGGCAGGCATTTCAGAAAAGATTAGGTACCAAGGTCAATTTAAGCACCGCTTTCCATCCACAGACCGATGGCCAAGCAGAAAGGACCATTCAGACTCTCGAAGATATGCTGCGTGCGTGTGTTATAGATTTTGGAGGTAATTGGGATGATCACTTGCCACTTATATAATTTGCTTACAATAACAACTATCAGGCCAGCATGGGTATGGCTCCTTATGAAGCGTTGTATGGGCGGAGATGTAGGTCTCCAGTGGGTTGGTTTGAACCAGCAGAGGTGCCGTTGATTGGTCCAGAGTTTGTTTGTGAGGCCTTGGAGAAAGTTCAACTAGTTAGAGAAAGACTTAAAGCGGCTCAGAGTCGTCAAAAGTCTTATTCTGACAAGAGGCATCGTGAGCTAGAGTTCATGGTTGGTGATAAGGTATTTTTGAAAGTTTCACCAATGAAAGGAGTTATGAGGTTTGGTAAGAAAGGGAAACTTAGCCCTAGATTTATCGGACCTTATGAAATTCTAGAAAAGAAAGGAAACGTGGCTTATAAGCTAGCGCTACCCGTTGAGTTGTCCTCTGTTCATCCTGTCTTTCACGTGTCTATGCTTAGAAAGTACATTCATGATGAGTCGCATATAATACCTGCCGATACCATAGAAATTAAAGAAGGTTTGACTTATGAAGAGGTACCTATAGAAATTCTCGATAGACAAGTAAGAAAGTTGAGAACCAAAGATTTAGCATCGGTAAAAGTTTTGTGGAGTAATCATGATTCAAAAGAGGCTACGTGGGAGGTTGAGGAAGATATGAGAAAGAAATATCCATATTTATTTGAGGAAAAAGGTATGTGAACCTAAGTTTGGTTTGACATTTATATTTCATTTATTAAATACTTAGAAAGTATTTCTGTCCTTCCTAGATTATACTTAGTTGTTGTAGTAATTTAGTTTATGCCGTAGTATATTTAATTCATTGAAGTGATTTACTTGTGCTAGAGTTGTTGTGCTTTAGATTCTTGTTAGTTATTGTGGTACCTCCTTGCGGAAGTGTGAGTAATTAATTTATGAGCTGTGTATGGTGCCTATGAATGGCCTGTTATGGTATATTTGTTGTTGGTGGTGTAGTTGTGGTATTTGTGACAGGGATATTTTTTTGGATAGTCCAAATTACAAGGGAAACTCTGCCGAAATTTTTAAAAATTTAGGGAGTTAGCCAAAATTTTGAGTCCCTTGGAAGAGTGAGTAGAGCTAAGAAAAATTTAAGAGGTTCAAGGACCTAAGGGATGATTGTTAGCTTAAGAATAAGGCCCTAGTAACATTCGAGGACGAATGTTTTTAAGGAGGGAAGATTGTAACACTCCTCAAATTTATAAAAGTTTC